GATAGATGGATGGAAGATGGATGGATGGATTGATGTAGACCAACATATAGATAGATGGATGGGTGGATGGATGGATGGATTGATGTAGACCAACATATAGATAGATGGATGGAAGATGGATGGATGGATTGATGTAGACCAACATATATATAGATGGATGGATGGATTGATGTAGACCAATATATAGATAGATGGATGGATAGATGGGTGGGTGGATTGATGTAGACCAACATATAGATAGATGGATAGACAGAATGGTAGATAGAGAGAAATGTAGACAGACAGACAGACAGACAGACAGACAGACAGACAGACAGACAGACAGACAGACGGACGGACGGACGGACGGACGGACGGACGGACGGACGGACGGACGGACGGACGGACGGACGGACGGACGGACGGACAGACAGACGGACGGACGGACAGACAGACAGACAGACAGACAGACAGACAGACAGACAGACAGACAGACAGACAGACAGACAGACAGACAGACAGACAGACAGACAGACAGACAGACAGACAGACAGACAGACAGACAGACAGACAGACAGACAGATAGATAGATAGATAGATAGATAGATAGATAGATAGATAGATAGATAGATAGATAGATAGATAGATAGATAGATAGATAGATAGATAGATAGATAGATAGATAGATAGATAGATAGATAGATAGATAGATAGATAGATAGATAGATAGATAGATAGGGGGGAGGGAGGGAGGGATGAATGGATGGATGGATGGATGGATGGATGGATGGATGGATGGATGGATGGATGGATGGATGGATGGATGGATGGATGGATGGATCATTATCAGATCATCTGAGCAAGAGATGTTGTTAACTAACTGTTGAACTTCCCCCTCCGAAGTCCCGCTGACCACTCCCGGCCCTTGGTAATCATGACCCTACATAAATCAGACTTGTCCTCTGGTACTCTGACCCACTCCCGTCCTCGCCCAATGTTCTTAAGCACGCATACTTGTCTTATTGTGTCTTCTGCAAGCCATCCATGATTTTTCCCTTTTCAGCCTCTGACCCTTAACTGCATCCAGAGCTTCATACAGAGGGTTTTCTTTGTCTGCAGCTACTCTGAGACATGACTTGGCCTGCAGCACCTTTAGCCTATCTGCAATAGTCGGCAATGCAAGGTTGTATATCATTCACACAATCGGGGTGTCTTTTGTACATCCCAGGATCACCCGCATAGCCTCATTCTGTATGCGCTTCAGTTTCTCTAGCTGACTCTTTGAGACAATGAGCAAACCCAATTCACAATCAATCACTGAGATGAATAAGTGCTGGGAAAGTGTCAACAGCATTCTCCTCTCCTTGTCCATTGCTGCCATAATCTTTAGTGCATTAAGACCTTTTCGAGCCTGTGTCACAACAATCTATATGTGATCTTTGAAAGACAAGCTTCTGTCAAATGTGATTCCTAGGTACCGCAGTCTGCTGTCTCTTTTGATGTTCCTGCCAATGATTTTGAGGCTTGGAACATCAGCTCCAACAATCCTGTTGTTCAAAGACCACCACAGGACGGTTGCCTTTTCTGGGTTGATTACAGCACTCACCTGATCTACTGTCTCCTATAATTCTTGAGCTATCTGATTTCAATCTTTCCCCTGCCTATATGCAAGAACATCCTCTGCAAATGACAACATTCTGACAACTCCAGGTGTTTCCAGATGCGCAATCTTGCTCGTGAAAACATTGTAATGAACATGTGAAATTGCAGATCCCTATTGTAGTCCTGGAGCTATAATACATGGATCGGAGGTCCATGAACCCAGGTTGAGTATACTACCAGACGAGTATACAAAACAGCTGCTATCCAGTTCACCAACCAAGGACATACTCCCCTCTCCATAAGCACTCATGTCCCGCATGTGGGAATATCTAACCGCGTCAACCTGGGTGCAATGTCTTTCAGTTTTTTCAGAACCAGTTTTACATCTTCCAACTGTATGCTATCTTCATAATGTTTGTTTTTTAAGATGGCTGTCAGATCTTCTTTAACTGTATCTCTGTTATTTTTTTCATTGTGGTCTGTCTGGTACATGAACCTCTTCAGGAAAGCCTTCCCCCTTATCTTTGTCTGTGGTCAGTAGCTTAACATCATTCGTATAAATTGCTCCTACTACGCTGGGCCGATCTTTCTTGAGCATCTGCCTGTGTGGCTTCCAAAATTCTCCCAATGTCTTATCATACCCAGTCTCATCAATAAAATGGTCACATTTTGATTTTCTTGGCCTCTGCCGCACAACGCTTGAAAAACTGCCGCACAGCTCTTGAAAAACTACCCCACTGCGCTTGAAAAACTACCACACAGCGCTTGAAAAACTACCGCACAGCTCTTGAAAAACTACGGCAAAGCGCTTGAAAAACTAACGCACAGTGCTTGAAAAATCTACCATACAGCGATTGAAAAACTACCGCACAGCTCTTGAAAAGCTACCACACAGCGCTTGAAAAACTACGGCAAAGTGCTTGAAAAACTAACGCACAGCGCTTGAAAAACTACCCCACAGAGCTTGAAAAACTACCGCACAGCGCTTGAAAAACTACGGCAAAGCGCTTGAAAAACTAACGCACAGCGCTTGAAAAACTACGGCAAAGCGCTTAAAAAACTAACGCACAGCTCTTGAAAAACTACCGCACAGCGCTTGAAAAACTACGGCAAAGCGCTTGAAAAATTATCCTATCGTTCTTATCTCTTTGCGCGCACCCCAATTCCTCATGTGAGTTTAGGGATGTCTGTCGCACTTTCTGTAATCGCTTTACTGCAGCTCTCTTTAACTTACATGCCTGTTCTGCCTCTGGTGTCCACGGCTGCTAATAATATACGTATTATGAGTATCAAGCAAAAAACACAAAGGCACGAGTAGACAGACAGACAGACAGACAGACAGACAGACAGACAGACATAAAGTTGGGTACGTGGATATATAGGTAGGTAAGCAAATAGGTTGATACGCATTGTATGAATGGATAGAAAGAGAGTGCGAGAGAGAGAGAGAGAGAGAGAGAGAGAGAGAGAGAGAGAGAGAGAGAGAGAGAGAGAGAGAGAGAGAGAGAGAGAGAGAGCACGAGAGAAATATGAAGAAATAGATAGAGACAGAGAGAGTATTGTCCTCATACGATTCAATAAACCTTCCCTATTCATATTCAGGACGTAATTTTCCTCGCCCTGGGCTCCAGTCATATCTGAGCTAGTCCTCATTCTCACAAGTCTGAAATCTCCCATTCTCCACAATCTCCTGAGGTCTCCAGTCTCCTGTACTACCCTGTACAACCCCGTGGTCCCCTAGGGCGATCATCGCTTCTGATAGAATTCACAGTTTGATCGTTTTCTGTTTGATTCTAGTGGCACTCTGGGAAACTCGTTACTACAATATCCATTCCTTACGAGGTCTGGATTGTGAGTATGTAGCACACACTGTGTGTAGAAGTAGTAGTAGCAGCAGCAGCAGCAGCAACAACAACAGCAACATAATTAGCATTGTTGGTGCTGGCGACAATGGTGGTGTCAGTAGTAGTAATATGATAACAATTAGTATTAGTGTAGTAGTAGTAGTAGTAGTAGTAGTAGTAGTAGTAGTAGTAGTAGTAGTAGTATTAGTAGTAGTAGTAGTATTTGTAGTAGTAGTGGTAGTAGTAATTGTAGTAGGAGTAAGAGCAGCAGCAGCAGTAGGAGTAGTTGTAGTAGTAGTAGTAGTAGTAGTAGTAGTAGTAGTAGTAGTAGTAGTAGTAGTAGTAGTAGTAGTAGTAGTAGTAGTAGTAGTAGTAGTAGTAGTAGTAGTAGTAGTAGTAGTAGTATTAATAGTAGTAGTAGTAGTAGTAGTAGTAGTAGTAGTAGTAGTAGTAGTAGTAGTAGTAGAAGTAGTAGTAGTAGTAATGATAGTGGTACTAGTAAGGGTGGTAGTAGTAGTGCGTACTGGCGTGCATCTCAATTTAGTATTAGTGTGTGTGTGTGTGTGTTTGTAAGTATGGGTGGCAGTAATATTTGTGTATTAGTGTGTAGTAATAGTGTGTGTGTGTGTGTGTGTGTGTGTGTGTGTGTGTAAATGTGACATGTTGAGGCGTGGGTGACATATTAAAAGAGAGAGAGAGAGAGAGTCTGTATGTATGTGTGAATGTGACATGTTGAGATGTGCATGACATGTTGAGATGTAAATGGCATGTAGAAATGTGGATGACATGTAGAGATGTGGATGACATGTAGAGATGTGGATGACATGTAGAGATGTGGATGACATGTAGAGATGTGAATGACATGTAGAGATGTGAATGACATGTAGAGATGTGGATGACATGTAGGGATGTGGATGACATGTAGAAATGTGGATGACATGTAGATATGTGGATGACATGTAGAGATGTGGATGACATGTAGAAATGTGGATGACATGTAGAGATGTGGATGACATGTAGAGATGTGGATGACATGTAGAAATGTGGATGACATGTAGAGATGTGGATGACATGTAGAGATGTGGATGACATGTAGAGATGTGGATGACATGTAGAGATTGGATGACATGTAGATATGTGGATGAGATGTAGAGATGTGGATGACATGTGGATATGTGGGTGACATGTAGAGATGTGGGTGACATGTGGATATGTGGGTGACATGTAGAGATGTGGGTGACATGTAGAGATGTGGGTGACATGTAGAGATGTGGGTGACATGTAGAGATGTGGCTGACATGTAGAGATGTGGATGACATGTTGAGAGGTGGGTTATATGTAAAAATGTGGCTGACATGTAGAGATGTGGATGACATGTAGAGATGTGGATGACATGTAGAGATGTGGCTGACATGTAGAGATGTGGATGACATGTAGAGATGTGGATGACATGTAGAGAGGTGGGTTATATGTAGAGATGTGGCTGACATGTAGAGATGTGGACGACATGTAAAGATGTGGATGACATTTTGAAACGTGGATGACATAAGATGTCTTTCTGCTTGTCTTCAACAGGACCTGGTGGTGTGCGGTAGCAGTTTGACGGCTCTAGCCATGAGATTCGCCGAGGAGTTGAAGACTCACTTCATGGATGTTCTCGAGGGACTGGAGGAGCTCTGGCTGGTGGCCAGAAACAGCGACATGTGCTCGGTAAGTTTCTCTGCACCTGCATATGACTCGATCCACACAAATCCCGCCCAAAGGCTTTATTACTTACATTATTTGTGTGTGGGTGTGCGTATGTGTGTTTCGGTGCGTGCGTGCGGGCGGGCGGGTCTGTGTGTGTGTGTGTGTGTGTCTCTCTCTCCCTCTCTATTTTTGTTGTAGGGTCTTCTCTTTTTTTATTCCCGGTCAAAGGCAGGGACACTGTTTGGAGCCGAGGCAAATTTTTTGCTTTTGCCGGAGGGTGGCCGATGCATTTTTGTTCCATTTGTAGACTGGATATAGTTTTGTCGCCTAGCTTCTGGGTTAAATACATGGCGTGACATTGTGAGCTGCAGATTTCATTTTAAATGTTTTTTCGACTGCGACCGACGTGGTGGTGTGAATTGTAGAGTCAGAAAATGGCGCGATGCTTGTCGTCGCAATGTTGTTGGTGCCCGTACGCTATTATAGGAATAAACCCACAAGGAGCAAGTACAGCAGGGATCTACCAGTCATCAGTAGAAGATATCCTCGTCGACAAGTGTTTCGGCCCACGATTCTCCTAGACACTTTCAGAGGTGAGCCTACCTGAGTTCATGAAGCTCAGGGCTGGTACCCTGCTGCACGAGATTACCGGATGGTGTTTTTCTTTCGGATAGGAACAAGACGACTTGGTGGTTTCGCAGAAGGTACTGTGAGATAAGAAGTCGTTGCGGCAGCCTAATTAGAACAGTCAGCATGCCTGGAAGACCTCGACGGTCGGTTTGAGTGTAACCCATTATCTCCTTCAATTTTAGTGCGTTCTGCGCAGATTCAATCGCATCGAGGACCCTCCACTGCTGGTCAGTCTTTAGAGCGGGCTGGACAGCGATGACATTTGGGTCTGGAGCATGGCGAGTCTTACCTTGCCCACTTTAAACTCTTCTGTTATCGATTTGAACGGCAGTACCAGCTTAGCCTGCTTGCAATACAGAGCCACGTCGGTCAGACAAGGCGGTGCACCAATCCACTTTCTTAAGGCTGTGTTGATTTTCCTCTCCATGGTATCCACTGCAGTCATCGTCACCTCGTAGACTAACAGTGGCCAGAGGAGCTTTGGAATCAACATGAATTGGAGACACCAAACCTTGAACTTCCCGACCAGCCTGCAACGCTCGATCGCGAGCAGGCCTGTAGCCAGTGACTCGTGTATTCGCCGGACCTCCGCTCTATCAGATAACTTCGAATCGTAAATGCGACCAAGGCTTTTCACCGGTTCCTCCAGAACCGTAGGGATCTTGTTTCTTGCCACCGTAAAACTGGTTGCCGACACCTTGCCCTTAAGGATAGACAGACTCCTCGACTTCTGCGGTTTGAACTGCATACCGCTCCATTGGACCACCGCGTCCAATCTTTTCAGGATCGTTGGGCAGACTCCTCGCTGCCCGTGATTATAGTCGTGTCATCCATAAATGCGCGTAGTGGCGGCAACCAGTGATCCCCTATTTGAAGGCCCTGTCAGTAGCCGGCCGCCCCGTCTAACATGATCTGCATGGCCATGACAAACAGTACTGATGAGATCGTACAGCCCATAGCTATCCCAATCTGCAGCTCAGTCCATCTCGTGGTAAACGTCGAGGTAGAGAAGCGCAAAGCGAACTTAGAGAAATATTGCTCGATCATATCATTGACCTGTGCCGGTACGTTGGCTAAGTCCAACCATATCCCGTGCAATTGAGTTCTCTCATGCTTGGCTCTCTGAATAGCCTCCCAAATCATGGTCGCGTGTTCAAGGCACACAGGAACGCCCGGAATACCACCCTTCTGAACACTCGTATCTATGTACTTGTTAGCCATCAAATACTGTGTTAGCCGGCGAGCCATGACCGAGAAGAATATCTTACCCTCGACATTCAACAGCGAGATGGGCCTGAATTGGGAAAGACTCTTCGAGTCCTGCTCTTTGGGAATGTAGACCCCATTCGCCTTTTGCTATTCTGGACATATGTGTTTGCGGATCCACGCTTGTCTCAACAAGACGTGAAGCATTTTTAGGATTTTCGGGCAACGCTTGTAAAGAACGTACGGAACACCATTCGGACCTGGGGCAGACTTGCCGCTGGCCTTTTTGACAACTTCATCAACCTCAGACTAAAGGGGAGGTATCATTTTAAATGGTACCTTCGGCAACTCAGGCTGCTTGAGGCCGCTAAGGATCTCTGGATTGTCATCAAGAGGCTCTCTCCTCTTTTTGTCAGAGTACATCTTGCGTAGATGTAACTCAAGCTCTTCCTGACTGACAACCAGAGTCCCAGACTTCGGTTGCTCGAATAGACCTCGGGCAAACTGATACGGGTCCCTAAAGTTGGCACAGAAACGCTCAGCGCGACAGAGGGCACTGTGTTTGTTCTTTAAATGCAACCAGATTTCGTACAGCCCCTCCCGTTCGCTGTCTGTAGCGGCTTTGAACCGTTTTCTGAGGGCATTCTTGTCTGCCCGACACTTCAGAATGTCCCTCTGCTCCTCCTAGTATTCTGCTTGGCACCCGGCTGTGCCTTCTGCACTGTCCCGAACTCGCGGGAGCAGTGCTCATATATAACATCACCAAATTTTGTAAGCTTGTCGCCTAACGACTTCTTGTTTAAATCATGTTTGAGTATCTCACACAATGTAGCCTCCAACTTACACCACACCATCTTATCGCTCGCAGGTGGAAACCTGATCCTGGAACGCACTTCCTCAGAAATCATCAAACGTGCTCCTCCGCAGTCGACGTCATGGGCCTCTCCGGTCGAGTGGGGTTGACCCTGCCCGTCGTTCCCTGACGACTCAGAAACTACCACAGGAATAGTAGTTTTGCGACGGCGTTTACTGCGTGGAGCACCCTCGCATTTCATTCTTCCGGCATGCGTTCTCAGACCATGCAACCCCGTGAAGCTCTTTCCACATGTACAGAGCCAGCCCGGACGTTGGGCGAGTATCTGAGTCCGGGGGCTAGCATTGTCGTCACCGAGAGTATCAATTTGATTGAGCCCTTCATTCTCCCCCCTTAGGGAGGGCCCTGGGGGCATATTTCTTTATTGGTTAACGCAATCAGAGGTATTATACTGTGTTAGGGGTGATCAACCCGGTCCACAGTCGACATCTGTCTCCAGATGTCAGTTTATTCCCCCGGTGATACCGGGGGGCCAGTCTTTCCATAGGTGTCACAAGGTCTTTCCCGAGAGTCACCATTCTTTCATGGTAGTCTTGTGGGCTAGCCACGTACAATAGGAATAAACTCACAGGGAGCAAGTACAGCAGGGATCTACCAGTCATCAGTAGAAGATATCCTCGTCGACAAGTGTTTCGGCCCACGATTCTCCTAGACACTTTCAGAGGTGAGCCCACCTGAGTTCATGAAGCTCAGGGCTGGTACCCTGCTGCATGAGATTACCGGATGGTGTTTTTCTTTCGGATAGGAACAAGACGACTTGGTGGTTTCGCAGAAGGTACTGTGAGATAAGAAGTCGTTGCGGCAGCCTAATTAGAACAGTCAGCATGCCTGGACGACCGAGCGACAAGCTTACGTTTGGTTTACCGGACACATGTTGGACTTCTGTTAGCAGGTGGCAGAGGAACACTGGCAGACAATTCGGACACGATGGACTTTCAAAGGGTGTGAAACCCTTTTCCACTAGAAATCCGGACCAGCTCACCGAGGCCCGTCCCCTACGTTGTTGCGTTGCGTCCAAAGCCAGTTCGAGGCCCTTTCGGCTGCCTCGCCCAGTTTTTTAAGTGTTTGTTTCCGTTCATTACCGCGCAATCCTAGTTCTTTAACCACATTGTACAATGAAGTGGAGACGAGACCTCGCGCTCCCACTTCGACGGCAAAGACACGTACCGTGTACGCCTCGTCTCTCCTCAGACCGGTTGCTAACTCACAATATTTCTCGAGATTATATGTGTGACTCTCGTCCATACGCGACTCATACGGGACGGTAAGCTCAATCAGGATGAGCTGTCGTTTCTCCGCAGAGTGGAGAACTATGTCAGGTCGCAGGCCGGTCTTCCGGATTAACTCGGGGTACCTTTCATGGCCTGGCAGATCAACCGCCAGTAACCAGTCCCTCGCAGAGTCTAGCACAGATGGAGTGAATGCGTTTCGGTTGACCTTACCTTTTTGAATTTGCCCAGGCTTGAGGAAACGAATGGGGACGATGGTAGAACTGGCTCTAGCATTAGCCCTCATTCTAGCCTGGTCAACAGCGGCTGCTAACTCTTTTAGCACCTTGTTGTGTCGCCAGGTATATCGGCCTTGACCTAGGGCTTCCTGCACGCGGACAGGACGTGCTCAAGAGTCTGCTTCGCTTTGCTATCGCATGGGCAACTGCTAATCTGTTGGCGACTTCTAACACAATCAATGATGAACTGCATTTATAATGTTGGACTGTTTGTGTTAGCACGTCGGATGGCTATCGTATGCTTTAATGCGTGTGTATGCTAGATGTGCTGAGACAACAGTCTGTCAATCTTTCAACAAGGGACTGTGATAAACATTCTGTGTGTTTTTCGTTGGCACAGGAGCGGAGCAAAGATGGGGTGACCCGTTTGCTATGAAGCTGAAACTAAGACTACCAGACTACCAGTCTTTTCCTTCGCCTTTACCATCTGTGAACTCCGGCAGAAAGTTCTCGTTGTTCATCCACTTCTAGACTAAAGTCATGTTACAGAATATATGTCCTGTGTGCATATCCGTTTTACAGGTTTATTTTTATGCAGATTGTTCATTCCTCCCTCTCAGGCAAATGCACTCCGACTTTAAAGAAAACATCCCATATTAGTCGACGCTTACGAAATGCTTGTTAGGGAACAGTGTGTCGTGTGTCCCCCCCCCCCCCCAACCACCACAATAGGGCCCTGGAACTCATTATGGTTCCAGGTGATGGAAAGCTTAGTTTCTAGATGAAGAGATGGGGGGTGATACAATTATAAATATCCAGTGCTAGGATACCAAGTAATTCATTCCTATTTATCTCATGGCATAGTCACCCAAGTGCACTGCTATAATGGCATGCATTACCTACTGACTTATAAAATCGTCAACGTTAATTTCTATTATACTACCTGGTATTTCATGCTAATAACTACAGTATTTCACACAAGTATCTCCAGTGTTTCACACTGTAAACTACAGTATTTCCTTTTATATTCTCCGGTAATTCATGCCATATTCTCCATTATTTCTTGCTATAATCTCCAGTATTTCATCCTATAATCTTGACTATTTCATGTCACAATATCCAGTATTTCATGCTATAGCCTCCACTATTTCATATTATAATCTCCAGTATGTCTTGCTATAATCTACAGTAATTCATGCTATATTCTCGGGTATTGTTTGCTATTATCTCCAGTATTTCATCCTGTAATGTTGAGTATTTCATCCTATAATCTCCAGTATTTTATGCTGTAGTCTTTAGTATTTCATACTATTATCTACAGTATTTCATGCTGAAATCCCCAGTATTTAATGCTATAATCCCAAGTATTTCTTGTTATAATCTCCAGTATTTCCTGCCATCAACTCCAGTATTTCATGCTATAATACCCTGTGTTTCATGCCATTATCTCCAGTAATTCTGGCTATAATCTCTAGTATTTCATACTATAATCTCCAATATTTCATGCCATAATCTCTAGTATTTCATAATATAATCTCCATTATTTCATGCCATAATCTCCAGTATTTCATACTACAATTTCCACTTGTTCATGCCATAATCTCTAGTATTGTATACTATTAGCCCCAGTATTTCATGCCATAATATCCAGTATTTCATACTATAATCTCTAGTATTTCATATTATAATCTCCAGTATTTCATACTATAATCTCCAGTATTTCATGCCATAATCTCCAATATTTCATACTATAATCTCCAGTATTTCATACTATAATCTCCACTATTTCATGCCATAATCTCCAGTATTTCATACTATACTATCCACTTTATCATACAATAATCTCCAGTATTTCAGACTTTAATCTCCAGTATTTCATGCCATAATCCAGTATTTTATACTATATTCTCTACTATTTCATGCCATTATCTCCAGTATTTGATGCTATAGTCACCATAATTGTATGCTATAGAGAGATTTTTCACACTGTCTCTCCAGGATATGTGTAGAAGCAGCCCGCGCGGAGGTTTCTATGGAAGCCAGACATTCTACTATGGATACCCCTATCAGTATGGACCACCACATCGCCTCCACCACCCTGGCAGTCCAGTCAGCCAGCCACCGCCGCTACCTGCCTGTCCACCTGTAAGTGTTATCTCTTTTTCTTTGTCCACCTGTAAGTGTTATCTCAGTCTCCCTGTCCACCTGTAAGTGTTATCTGTGTCTCCCTGTCCACCTATAAGTGTTATCTCTGTCTCCCTGTCCACCTGTAAGTGTTATCTCAGTCTCCCTGTGCACCTGTAAGTGTTATCTCAGTCTCCCTGTACACCTGTAAGTGTTATCTCAGTCTCCCTGTCCACCTGTAAGTGTTATCTCTGTCTCCCTGTCCACCTGTAAGTGTTATCCATGTTTTCCAGTCCACCTTTTAGCGTATCTCTGTTTTCCAGCACACCTGTATGTGTTCTCTCTGTCTCCTTGCCCATCTGTAAGTGTTATCTCTGTTCTCCAGCACACATGTAAGTGTTATCTTTGTTTTCCAGCACATCTGTGTTATCTCTGTTTTCTAGCACATCTGTGTTATCTCTGTTTTCCAGCACACATGTAAGTGTTATCTTTGTTTTCCAGCACATCTGTGTTATCTCTGTTTTCTAGCACATCTGTGTTATCTCTGTTCTCCAGCACACATGTAAGTGTTATCTTTGTTTTCCAACACATCTGTGTTATCTCTGTTTTCTAGCACATCTGTGTTATCTCTGTTTTCCAGCACAAATGTAAGTGTTATCTCTGTCTCCCTGCATATTTATAAATGTTATCTCAGTTTGCAGTAATCTTGTGGTATCTGTTATTTACAGCATACATGTAAGTGGTATCCCTGTCTCACTTTCGGCTCACCTGTCATTTTGGTCTATATCTCCCTGCCGACATCTGAGTGTCCTCTGTATCTCCCCCGACATGTGAGTGTCCTCTATATCTCCCTGCCGACATGTGAGTGTCCTCTATATCTCCCCCGACATGTGAGTGTCCTCTATATATCCCTGCCGACCTGTGAGTGTCCTCTATATCTCCCTGCTGACATGTGAGTGTCCTCTATATCTCCCTGCCGACCTGTGAGTGTCCTCTATATCTCCCTGCCGACATGTGAGTGTCCTCTATGTCTCCCCCGACATGTGAGTGTCCTCTATATCTCCCTGCCGACCTGTGAGTGTCCTCTATATCTCCCCCGACATGTGATTGTCCTCTATATCTCCCCCGACATGTGAGTGTCCTCTATATCTCCCCCGACATTTGAGTGTCCTCTATATCTCCCCCGACATGTGAGTGTCCTCTATATCTCCCTGCCGACATGGGAGTGTCCTCTATATCTCCACCGACATGTGAGTGTCCTCTATATCTCCCCCGACATGTGAGTGTCCTTTATGTCTCCCCCGACATGTTAGTGTCCTCTGTATCTCCCCCGACATGTGAGTGTCCTCTATATCTCCCCCGACATGTGAGTGTCCTCTATATCTCCCCGACATGTGAGTGTCCTCTATATCTCCCTGCCAACCTGTGAATGTCCTCTATATCTCCCCGACATGTGTGTGTCCTCTATATCTCCCCCGACATGTGAGTGTCCTCTATATCTCCCCCGACATGTGAGTGTCCTCTATATCTCCCCCGACATGTGAGCGTCCTCTATATCTCCCTGCCAACCTGTGAATGTCCTCTATATCTCCCTGCCGACATGTGAGTGTCCTCTATATCTCCCTGCCGACATGTGAGTGTCCTTTATGTCTCCCCCGACATGTGAGTGTCCTCTATATCTCCCCCGACATGTGAGTGTCCTCATTATCTCCCTGCCGACATGTGAGTGTCCTCTATATCTCCCTGCCGACATGTGAGTGTCCTCTATATCTCCTGCCGACATGTGAGTGTCCTCTATATCTCCCCCGACATGTGAGTGTCCTCTATATCTCCCCCGACATGTGAGTGTCCTCTATATATCCCTGCCGACCTGTGAGTGTCCTCTATATCTCCCTGCTGACATGTGAGTGTCCTCTATATCTCCCTGCCGACATGTGAGTATCCTCATTATCTCCCTGCCGACATGTGAGTGTCCTCTGTATCTTCCCCGACATGTGAGTGTCCTCTGTATCTCCCCCGACATGTGAGTGTCCTCTATATCTCCCCCGATATGTGAGTGTCCTCTATATCTCCCTGCCGACATGTGAGTGTCCTCTATATCTCCCCCGACATGTGAGTGTCCTCTATATATCCCTGCCGACCTGTGAGTGTCCTCTATATCTCCCTGCTGACATGTGAGTGTCCTCTGTGTCTCCCTGCCGACCTGTGAGTGTCCTCTATATCTCCCTGCCGACATGTGAGTGTCCTCTATGTCTCCCCTGACATGTGAGTGTCCTCTATATCTCCCTGCCGACCTGTGAGTTTCCTCTATATCTCCCCCTGACATGTGAGTGTCCTCTATATCTCCCCCGACATGTGAGTGTCCTCTATATCTCCCCCGACATGTGAGTGTCCTCTATATCTCCCCCGACATGTGAGTGTCCTCTATATCTCCCTGCCGACATGGGAGTGTCTTCTATATCTCCCCCGACATTTGAGTGTCCTCTATATCTCCCCCGACATGTGAGTGTCCTCTATATCTTCCCCGACATGTGAGTGTCCTCTATATCTCTCCCGACATGTGAGTGTCCTCTATATCTCCCCCGACATATGAGTGTCCTCTATATCTCCCTGCCGACCTGTGAGTGTCCTCTATATCTCCCCCGACATGTGAGTGTCCTCTATATATCCCTGCCGACATGTGAGTGTCCTCTATATCTCCCCCGACATGTGAGTGTCCTCTATATATCCCTGCCGACATGTGAGTGTCCTCTATATCTCCCCCGACATTTGAGTGTCCTCTATATCTCCCCCGACATGTGAGTGTCTTCTATATCTCCCCCGACATGTGAGTGTCCTCTATATCTCTCCCGACATGTGAGTGTCCTCTATATCTCCCCCGACATGTGAGTGTCCTCTATATATCCCTGCCGACCTGTGAGTGTCCTCTATATCTCCCTGCTGACATGTGAGTGTCCTCTATATCTCCCTGCCGACATGTGAGTATCCTCATTATCTCCCTGCCGACATGTGAGTGTCCTCTGTATCTTCCCCGACATGTGAGTGTCCTCTGTATCTCCCCCGACATGTGAGTGTCCTCTATTTCTCCCCCGATATGTGAGTGTCCTCTATATCTCCCTGCCGACATGTGAGTGTCCTCTATATCTCCCCCGACATGTGAGTGTCCTCTATATATCCCTGCCGACCTGTGAGTGTCCTCTATATCTCCCTGCTGACATGTGAGTGTCCTCTATGTCTCCCTGCCGACATGTGAGTGTCCTCTATGTCTCCCCTGACATGTGAGTATCCTCTATATCTCCCTGCCGACCTGTGAGTTTCCTCTATATCTCCCCCGACATGTGAGTGTCCTCTATATCTCCCCCGACATGTGAGTGTCCTCTATATCTCCCCCGACATGTGAGTGTCCTCTATATCTCCCCCTACATGTGAGTGTCCTCTATATCTCCCTGCCGACATGGGAGTGTCTTCTATATCTCCCCCGACCTGTGATTGTCCTCTATATCTCCCCCGACATGTGAGTGTCCTCTATATCTCCCCCGACATGTGAGTGTCCTCTATATCTTCCTGCCGACCTGTGAGTGTCCTCTATATCTCCCCCGACATGTGAGTGTCCTCTATATCTCCCCCGACATGTGAGTGTCCTCTATATCTCCCCCGACATGTGAGTGTCCTCTATATCTCCCCCGACATGTGAGTGTCCTCTATATCTCCCCCGACATGTGAGTGTCCTCTATATCTCCCCCGACATGTGAGTGTCCTCTATATCTCCCTGCCGACATGTGAGTGTCCTCTATATCTCCCTGCCGACATGTGAGTGTCCTCTATATCTCCCTGCTGACATGTGAGTGTCCTCTATATCTCCCCCGACATGTGAGTGTCCTCTATATCTCCCTGCCGACATGTGAGTGTCCTCTATATCTCCCTGCCGACATGTGAGTGTCCTCTATATCTCCCCCGACATGTGAGTGTCCTCTATATATCCCTGCCGACTTGTGAGTGTCCTCTATATCTCCCCCGACATGTGAGTGTCCTCTATATCTCCCCCGACATCTGAGTGTCCTCTATATCTCCCCCGACATGTGAGTGTCCTCTATATCTCTCTGCCGACATGTGAGTGTCCTCTATATCTCCCTGCCGACATGTGAGTGTCCTCTGTATCTCCCCCGACATGTGAGTGTCCTCTATATCTCTCCCGACATGTGAGTGTCCTCTATATCTCCCCCGACATATGTGTCCTCTATATCTCCCTGCCGACCTGTGAGTGTCCTCTATATCTCCCTGCCGACCTGTGAGTGTCCTCTATATCTCCACCGACATGTGAGTGTCCTCTATATCTCCCCCGACATGTGAGTGTCCTCTATATCTCCCCCGACATCTGAGTGTCCTCTATATCTCCCCCGACATGTGAGTGTCCTCTATATCTCCCCCGACATGTGAGTGTCCTCTATATCTCCCTGCCGACATGTGAGTGTCCTCTATATCTCCCTGCCGACATGTGAGTGTCCTCTATATCTCCCTGCCGACATGTGAGTGTCCTCTATATCTCCCCCGACATGTGAGTGTCCTCTATATCTCCCCCGACATATGAGTGTCCTCTATATCTCCCCTGACATGTGAGTGTCCTCTATATCTCCCCCGACATGTGAGTGTCCTCTATATCTCCCCCGACATGTGAGTGTCCTCTATATCTCCCTGCTGACATGTGAGTGTCCTCTATATCTCCCCCGACATGTGAGTGTCCTCTATATCTCCCTGCCGACATGTGAGTGTCCTCTATATCTCCCTGCAGACATGTGAGTGTCCTCTAAATCTCCCTGCCGGCATGTGAGTGTCCTCTATATCTCCCCCGACATGTGAGTGTCCTCTATATCTCCCTGCTGACATGTGAGTGTCCTCTATATCTCCCCCGACATGTGAGTATCCTCTATATCTCCCTGCCGACATGTGAGTGTCCTCTATATCTCCCTGCCGACATGTGAGTGGCCTCTATATCTCCCTGCCGACATGTGAGTGGCCTCTATATCTCCCTGCTGACATGTGAGTGTCCTCTATATCTCCCTGCCGAAATGTGAGTGGCCTCTATATCTCCCTGCCGACATGTGAGTGTCCTCTATATCTCCCTGCTGACATGTGAGTGTCCTCTATATCTCCCCTGACATGTGAGTGTCCTCTATATCTCCCTGCTGACATGTGAGTGTCCTCTATATCTCCCTGCTGACATGTAAGTGTCCTCTATATCTCCCTGCTGACATGTGAGTGTCCTCTATATCACCCTGCTGACATGTGAGTGTCCTCTATATCTCCCTGCTGACATGTGAGTGTCCTCTATATCTCCCTGCCGACATGTGAGTGTCCTCTATATCTCCCTGCTGACATGTGAGTGTCCTCTATATCTCCCTGCCGACATGTGAGTGGCCTCTATATCTCCCTGCCGACATGTGAGTGTCCTCTATATCTCCCTGCCAACATGTGAGTGGCCTCTATATCTCCCTGCTGACATGTGAGTGTCCTCTATATCTCCCTGCTGACATGTGAGTGTCCTCTATATCTCCCTGCCGACATGTGAGTGGCCTCTATATCTCCCTGCCGACATGTGAGTGTCCTCTATATCTCCCTGCTAACCTGTGAGTTTTCTTTCTATCTCGCTGCTTACCCGTGAGTGCCCTCTATATCTCCCTGCTCACCCGTGATTGTCCTTTCTATCTCCCTGCTCCCCGTGAGTGTCCTTTCTATCCTCCTATTTACCATTGAGTGTCCCGTATATCTCTCTGCACGGTGAAAATGAATTTATTTAAATTTGATTACTTTACTAAGGAGCTGTAAATTCTAATGGTATCCCAGTATTATTGCATGGAGCTGTAAAATCTAGTTGTATTCCTGTTGTATTGTATGGAGCTGTACGGTCTAGTGGTATTTCAGTTGTATTATATGGGGCTATATGGTCTAGTGGTATTCCAGTGGTATTGTATGGAGCTGTAAGGTCTTGTGGTATTCCAGTGATATTGTATCGAGCTGTAAGATCTCGTGGTATTCCAGCGGTATTGTATAGAGCGGTAAGGTCTAGTGGTTTTCCAGCGGTATTGTATGGAGCTGTAAGGTCGTGTGGTATTCCAGTGGTATCGTATGCAGCTGTAAGGTCTTGTGGTATTCCAGTGGTATTGTATGGGCTGTAAGGTCTTGTGGTATTCCAGTGGTATTGTATTGGCTGTAAGGTCTAGTGGTATTCCAGTGGTATTGTATGGGCTGTAAGGTCTTGTGGTATTTCAGTGGTATTGTATGGAGCTGTACGGTCTTGTGGTATTCCAGTGGTATTGTATGGAGCTGTATGGTCTAGTGGTATTCCAGCGGTATTGTATGGAGCTGTAAGGTCTAGTGGTATTCCAGCGGTATTGTATGGAGCTGTAAGGTCTAGTGGTATTCCAGCGGTATTGTATGGAGCTGTAAGGTCTAGTGGTATTCCAGCGGTATTGTATGGAGCTGTAAGGTCTAGTGGTATTCCAGCGGTATTGTATAGAGCTATACGGTCTAGTGGTATTCCAGCGGTATTGTATGGAGCTGTAAGGTCTAGTGGTATTCCAGCGGTATTGTATAGAGCTATACGGTCTAGTGGTATTCCAGCGGTATTGTATGGAGCTGTAAGGTCTTGTAGTATTCCAGTTGTATTGTATGGAGCTGTAAGGTCTTGTGGTATTCTAGTGGTATTGTATGAAGCTGTAAGGTCTAGTGGTACTCCAGTTGTATTGTATGGACTGTAAGGTAGTATTCCAGTGGTATTGTATGGAGCTGTAAAGTCTTGTGGTATTCAAGTGGTATTGTATGGAGCTGTAAGGTCTTGTGGCATTACAGCGGTATTGTATAGGCTGTAAGGTCTAGTGGTATTCCAGCGGTATTGTATAGAGCTGTAAGGTTTAGTGGTATTCCAGTGGTACTCTATGGAGCTGTAAGGTCTAGCGGAATCTGAGTTATTTATTTCTGAACTGTATGTCTAGTGGACTAGACTGGTACTCTGTGGAGCTGTGGAGTCTTGCGAAAAAACGATTTGTTTGGCAGTATGTGCAGTGGAGTGGCATTATGATGAGTTGTGGAGTCTTACGGAAAGACAATTTGTTTGGCAGTATGTGCAGTGGAGTGGCATTATGATGAGCTGTGGAGTCTTACGAAAAGACAACTTGTTTGGCACTATGTGCAGTGGAGTGGCATTATGATGAGTTGTGGAGTCTTACGGAAAGACAATTTGTTTGGCAGTATGTGCAGTGGAGTGGCATTATGATGAGCTGTGGAGTCTTACGAAAAGACAACTTGTTTGGCACTATGTGCAGTGGAGTGGCATTATGATGCGTTGTGGAGTCCAGCGGAATACGTGATATTGTGCGGATCTTTATGAAAAATAATTATTTTACATCGGTGGCTATAGAGTGTGGTCGATTCGAGTAGTTATGTATGTAGCTGTAGAGTCTGGTGGATTCGAGTAGTTATGTGTGTAGCTGTAGAGTCTGGTGGATTAGAGTAGTGATGTGTGTAGCTGTAGTCTGGTAGAGATTTGTGAATATTTGAAGTTCTGTCATCGCTTGACTGTCTTCAGTTTGCAGACGCGTCTCCCCGTAATCAAAGAGAATCGATTTTCCGGGAAGAGAAGCATTTTGTCCTGATAAGCAAATTAATAATGTGGACGGTTTCGATATCTTGTTAGCCTTATGTGGCTTGATTTGATTACTACCCTACTTTGCTACTGCAGACAACATTTCCCCATCTCTTCCTGTTGAAAATCTCTTCCCCCCCCCCCCCTTTCTCTTTTTCTGTCTTATATCGATGGTGTCTGATTTGTAAAGAAGGCCTGTCATCTCCGCCCTCTATTTATTTTTCTTGTCTCTTGTCTCGCGTGGTGTTTTATTTCATACTGAATTTAATTTCATTACTTGCATGGGATAGTAAAAGAAATGTGGTTTTTTTCCCCTCCCCTTCTCTACTTAATCTTTGTCTCTACAGCTGAAGTAAGAGAGGCTCCAACTTGAGTCGGTCTTAGCTGAAGTATGTCATTTCCCCTAACTGCATCTGAGGCTCTTACCGTCCTTGGTTCTACCCACCGCCCCTACAAACTTGACCAAGGATGCTACCAAAGAAACAGTAGCACCCATAGTAGGATCATCATCAAATGCTTTGCCGACTGGCGGGGGGGGGGGGGCGTTGATCATGCCTCTCCACAATCTGAGATCTGCAGCTGCGTGAATCAGTTCGTGTGTTGACACCCCTCCATGCTGTCACAAAAGACTGTCGAGAATCTTCTCACATTGTCTTCCTCTGTCTCTCTTTCCACAAATCTTTCCAGTGGTCACAACATCTTGCAGTTTCCCTCTTTCAAAACATCTGGGTTGCTTTTCTAAGCTCGCCAAGGAATTCTAAGGATTCTTCTGTCAAACCACATCTCGGCGGCCTCAAGATATTGTTCGGCTTGTTTATTAATTGTCCAGGCTTCACAGCTGTATGTTAAAACTGGCTTTATATAGCATGCGATAATTCTTTTCCTAATCTGCAATGACATGTTTTGTGTGTGTGTGTGCATAAAATGTTCTTCATTTTGTAAAATGCAGTTTTAGCTTGTCCTGTTCTATTCTTTATCTCTGTGACACATCTTCCATCGGATATTATATACGTGCCTGGATATTTAGAAGAAGTTACTTGCATATTCTTTTTTTTTTTTTGACGTTGCTGAACCAACGCCAACCTAGGCTTTTGTGGTTTTTCTAGGCAAATTTACGTCCAGTAGTTTGCTATTGCTTTCTGGACGGTTGGCTTCTTGATACCACTGTCGAAACTAACGCAAGGCCCGCAGCTGAGGTTAAACCCGGCACCCCGGCGTTATAAAGCGCTCGCGCAACGCCTAGGCTACACGCGCCGACCTAGATACTTATCCTAAAATAACGCCTTTGACTTTTATTATACATTTAGGTACTTTTTTTCTTTGTAAATCTCCATTACTTTTGTCTCTCCATTATTTAAACTGACGCCCATTGTATCACTTTCTACCAACACCACATCTGTCAATTGCTGTAGTTCTTTCTGTCTGTTCGCTATCAAGACGATGTCATCAGCATAGCCTAGGTTGTTTATGTTATGCCCACCAACCGCAATTCCTGGCATATCCATCATAGATCTAATTAAATGTTCACTGTATAATGCAAATAAATCAGGTGATAGTACGCATCCTTGTCTTACTTCCCCCTTCATGCTCTTAAATGTTCCCAGCTGGTTATTATTTCTTATAGCTGCTGTCGTTTTATAATCCACAGTAGGATACACATGTCTAACCAGTACGCTATCAAGCCTCGCACTTTAGTCATTAAAATTATCTTTAGTCATTATAAATAACTTTAGTCATTATAATTACCTGTAGTCACTCTGTTATTACTTATTTATTTTAAATATGTTAGCCATCCGTTACTAAAAGGTGCCCCGAAAACAGTGAAATGGAAAACATGCAATAACAAAAAATTTTCTACCTGTGGATTGAATACTTAATATCTTTCGCTTGTTAGGTGGATGTGATCCGCCCCCTAAATTTAACAAGAGAAGCTATCTCATCCGCCCCCCAAATGTAACCAGAGAAGCTATCTCATCCGCCCCCAAATCTAACCAGAGAAGCTATCTCATCCGCCCCCCAAATACAACCAGAGAAGCTATCTCAACCGCTCCCCAAATGTAACCAGAGAAGTTATCTCATCCCACGACAAATTGCCCATGTTGGGAAACAAATGTCTAGCCCCTACGCTGTCTTTGATTCTATCTCACTGCTAAAAGAATGTGAAATTTACTGTCCGGGCTTCAAGTATGAAGAGAAGAGAGAGAACCGCTTTTTCACATCTCTCGACTTTGCCTTTACCTTTACACACCCCTTTACTCATTCATGAACTCCTTTATTCATTCACACACCCCTTCACCCATTCACCGATGACTGATTCACTCACTGATCCCTCACCTTTATTCTCCAGCCAGTCACAGTTTCCGGGGGATACATGGACCGGTGTTATAGCCTGCAGAGTCACCTGGACGGGGTTCACTACAGGTGTGTATTGTGTATGTGCACATTCGCGGTGTGTGAATGAGTGAAGGAGTGTGTAAATGAGTGAAGGGTGTGTAAATGGGTGAAGGGGTGTGTAAATGAGTGAAGGGATGGGTGAAGGAGTGTGTAAATGAGTGAAGGGGTGTGTAAATGAGTGAAGGGGTGTGTAAATGAGTGAAGGGGTGTGTAAATGAGTGAAGAGGTGTGTAAATGAGTGAAGGGGTGTGTAAATAAGTGAAGGGGTGTGTAAATGAGTGAAGGAGAGTGTAAATGGGTGAAGGGGTGTGTAAATGAGTGAAGGGGTGTGTAAATGAGTGAAGGAGTGTAAATATGTGAAGGAGTGTGCAAATGAGTGAAGATGTGTGTAAATGAGTGAAGGAGTGTGTAAATTAGTGAAGGGGTGTGTAAATAAGTGAAGGGGTGTGTAAATGAGTGAAGGAGTGTGTAAATTAGTGAAGGGGTGTATAAATGAGTTAAGGGGTGTGTAAATGAGTGAAGGGGTATGTAAATGAGTGAAGGAGTGTGTAAATGAGTAAAGGAGTGTGTAAATTAGTGAAGGAGTGTGTAAATGAGTGAAGGAGTGTGTAAATTAGTGAAGGGGAGTGTAAATGAGTGAAGGGGTGTGTAAATGAGTGAAGAAGTGTGTAAATGAGTGAAGGAGTGTGTAAATTAGTGAAGGGGTGTGTAAATTAGTGAAGGAGTGTGTAAATTAGTAAAGGAGTGTGTAAATGAGTGAAGGAGTGTAAATTAGTGAAGGGGTGTGTAAATTAGTGAAGGAGTGTATAAATTAGTGAAGGAGTGTGTAAATTAGTGAAGGAGTGTGTAAATTAGTGAAGGAGTGTGTAAATGAGTGAAGGAGTGTGTAAATTAGTGAAGGGGTGTGTAAATTAGTGAAGGAGTGTGTAAATTAGTGAAGGGGTGTGTAAATGAGTGAAGGAGTGTGTAAATGAGTGAAGAGGTGTGTAAATGAGTGAAGGAGTGTGTAAATGAGTGAAGGGATGTGTACATGAGTGAAGGGGTGTGTAAATGAGTGAAGGAGTGTGTAAATGAGTGAAGGAGTGGGTAAATGAGTGAAGGGGTGTGTAAATGGGTGAAGGGGTGTGTAAATGAGTGAAGGAGTTTGTAAATGAGTAAAGGAGTGGGTAAATGAGGGAAGGGGTGTGTAAATGAGTGAAGGGGTGTGTAAATGAGTGAAGGGGTGTGTAAATGAGTGAAGGAGTGTGTAAGTGAGTAAAGGAGTGTAAGTGAGTGAAGGAGTGTGTAAAAGAGTGAAGAAGTGTTTAGGGGTGTGTGAATGAGTGTATTAATGAATGAATCAGTCGTTGAATAAGTAAAGGGGTGTTAAAATAAGTGAAGGAGTTTATGAATGAGGGGAAAAGTATGTGAAAGAGTGAATGAATTAGTTATAGAGTGTATGAATCGGTCAGTGAATTAGCGAAGAAGAAGAAGAAAAAGAAGCAGAAGATATTAAACGCTATAACAGTTGGGAGACGACAGTGTTTCATGGAAGAGGCAGAAGGCTGAGCCCCCCCCCCCCCCCCCCCTATTTTTCCCCTCCATCTCTCCTCTAGTTGGGGAGGGGGCCCCAAGTTGCCTCAGCCTCAAGTTTCCAGCTCTCCTGTGTCTGCCACATAGGCCACACACATCACACAGTGACACGAACAGGCTATCCGTCATGGAACGACAACAGAACAAACACTACTCCATTAAAATGGCCCGACAAAAGCATCAGAGGCTCTTTCCTGATACAGGAACGTACAAATATTTGGCTTTACCGGCTGCGTGATCTTCTGTGGCCACTAGCAATCCCCTTCCGTGAGTTGAACAGACAGAACCACCTCTTCTATCAGAGCAGCTGGCTCTCCAACGGGCGAGAGAGAGAGAGAGAGAGAGAGATAGAGAGAGAGAGAGAGAGAGAGAGAGAGGGAGAGAGAGAGAGAGAGAGAGAGAGAGAGAGAGAGAGAGAGAGGTAATCAATGCTCACCCAAGCCCCCAGCCTACTTCTGTGCAAATATTTGCTAGCCAATGTTCCGAGAAATCTGTCAATGAATTTTCTGACGCCAAATATTGTATCTCATCTTGTCAAAGTAACGAGCTACTTTTAGTGTTCAGGTAGTTCTAATATAGACACGGAATGGTGATCGCCGACACTGTTCTTCTCCTTAGATTTTCATAAAAGTAAAGAAAAAATCCCTTTTCACGCCTTTTAGGCGCATCGGGCATATGGGAAGAGCACCCATATTTTTCCAAACCAATCTGCACTGGGTGGGTAATGTGGTCAGCATTATGCCGGCCGTCTTTACTTCCCCAGAACAGCCATCCCGGTACCCATTTTTGGCCGGGTCGACCTGCCCTATACCAGGATAAAAATACTCACAGGCAGCAGTGGGTTTCGATCACAGTACGTTGGGATTACTAGTCGGACTCGCAACGCCTAAGCCACTCAGCCTCCTGCCTCTTCCATGAAACACTGTCCTCTCCCAAGTGTTATAGCTTTTAATATCTCTCTCTCAAATTTTCCTTAGCTTTTACCGGCTGTAAACTCCTACGTAAATTTATGGTTGTTCGTTCACTTCTGGACTTTGGTCTTATACCAAAATTTGAGTTTTGCGTCCGCATCCTATTATCGTCGGCTCTGTGGCTAAGTCGATGCGAACGCTTCGCTTCGTAATGCCGGGATGCCAGGTTCGATCCCAGCTGCGGGCAATGCGCCTTACGTTGGTTTCGACAGTGGTATCAAGAAAGCCGACCGTCCAGAAAGCAATGGCAAACTACTGGATGTAACTTGCCTAGAGAAACCACACAACAGCCAGGGGCTGTTAGGGTTGGTTCTGCAACGTCCTGTAAAGGATACGCAACTAACTTTTTTACTTTTTAATCCTATTATCACAGCTGGCTTTTTAAAATATATATTCCTAACTGTTAGTTCGTCACCTCTCAGGTAGATGCACTCGATGTAAAAACAACCCCCAATTATTCGCCCTTTACGACATGTTTGTTATGATGCAGTGGGTCATTTCTTCTCTCCCGCCCCACCCCAATATGGGGGTCCCGGAACCCACACGAAGAGATTTCAGTTTTAATCGTGGCACTACCAGTTGGAGATTACATTGAGAACTGTGCGCATTTTTCAGTTATTCGGTAGAAGTGGGAAAGTAGTCCGAATGATGAAATGTTTGTTATCAAGGGGATGTAAGATCAGGGGCACACTCAAATATAAGCTATCAGGTGGGGTTCCGGCTTCACGGCTAAGGATCACCCACCACAACTACTCCACTACTGTGCCAGTGACAACCACACAAAATTACCCATCACTATCCCTTATAAAAAGTCAAACAGACAGCAGTCCCGGCAGTCAGCTCGCACGCGCATCATACGCATAAGGAAGCCCCAGAGAGGCCAGCACCTATAGTTACAGTTTGTCACCATACTTACCATTCACAGTTGATTGACTCGCAGTAACCACGAAGACGCATGATTGCATAATCTTTAAGGCCAATTATGTGACAAGAAACTACGCACCATTCTCTGAATATGCAGTTTAGAATACACACCTCTTGGAGCAATGGCAATAAACATTTTACATAGAATCCATAGCTTACAATGACGCGTCATGCATTCAAGTTAGTAGCTGGCCGACAGATTTCGCCTTTACTTCGCCTGTCGTCATGCCCAGTTTCCCATTTTATTTATGATGGCGAATCTGATCTGGCTAGTGATTTGTAGGGGTGTCTAGTAAGGCTGTACCGAATAGTGTTTTTCACTATTCGGCCGAATACGAATAGCCGGACCAACTATTCGAATAGTGTAAAATATATCTAAAAAAAAAAAAATAATAATTCATAATGTCAAATGTACGCTGAACTTTTACTTCACATAAAGTAGCACAGAGTAGTCATCTTCTTCTTTAACATTCTGAGCCCTTGAGGTTTACTGTTGCAGATATCACTCGTCTCCATTTATTTCTCTGGCTGGTCTTCTCTTCACAATATGTGAAACTAGTTGTTTGCAGGTCTGGCTGGACATTATCTCTCGAACTTCTTTTTTTGTCTGCCTCGTGGTCTACGCCCATTCCTCTCTCTGGTGTATACAGAATTTATTTCTCTGTCATCTGACATTCTTTCAAAATTTCCCAACCATTTTAGTCTGTTAGCTCTCATGATGCCAGTGATCAATGGTGATTTAAACAGATTATGTGTTAGGTTGTTGCTTCTCACTCTCCATTCCCCGCTGTTAGCATCTTTGATGGGTCCAAAGATTTGTCGTAAGACTGTTTTCGAAAACATGTAATAAGGCCTCATCTCTTTTATTTCTGCTTCAAGTTTCAGAGTCACATAAAACGGCTGGTCTTATCAACATTTTATATTTTGATCTTTGTGTTGCGAGACAGCACTTTGACTTTAGCAGATGTTGAAGGGCATAGTATACTTTATTTCTAGATTGTATTTCTTCTTTCAGCATGTTGGAGAGTTGAAGTTTGCACGCAAGAACTTATATGCTTCCGTTCGTATGATTTTCATATTATCGACTTGGATGTGGCTGGAGTTTATATTCTTTCCATGTCTAGTTAGTATTCGTACAGAATAGTAAACATTTAAAAACATTTGATGTTTTGCATCCTTAAGTCCCGGTTAGCGGGGTAGGGGTATCCCCTATCAAAGGAGAAGTAAGACGCCTCTTTTCTTCCGCTAGTCTACGGGACACCCTTGGGCAAGGTGGAGTACCCGTTTAGCTCCCAATCAGGGTTACGTGAAGCCATGGAAGCAGGTGGTGGATGGAGTGTAAGAGCAGCCGACAGGTATTGTTGGTTATGGTCTGCACTCTGCGGCGATAGGCAGATGATCTCATCAGTAGAGACAATGGCTTTGGCCACCGACTAGTATAGTCACTGCTCAGGAGGAAAGCAACGGCAAACTACCTTCTGCAAATTTTGCCAAGAATCCATAACAATCATGAAAGAGTGGCAGATGATCTCCAGATGGGTGTATCAGACGCAGGACATCTTGCTCAGGATAGGAAGGTTTTCCAGAGGGTTGTTATGGCAGCGAGGTTCCGCGAGGGACATGCTACTGAATGAATGAATCCTTAAGTCAGTCTGTGGTAACTAATAACTAGGAGTGAAAGAATCCTAAGTATTATAAAAAGTAACTAAACTTGGAAATTGTCACTGACAGCTTAGTTAATGCATGAAAGCTGCATTAGCTTTCAACAAAACCAATCGTTCCATGTTGTCAGTATTAAGGTCGCGTATGCAGAAGCGGGTGTAAGGTAACTACTATTCGTATTCGGCCCGACCGTAACTATTCGGCCGAATACCGAATATTCAATAGGTCCACTATTCGGCCCGAAGCGAATACGAAGCGAATATTCGGTACAGCCCTAGTGTCTAGTTGGTTGTCGATGGAAGTAAACACTCACAATGTGACACATGTTTTCCTGTACATTTCAGACCAGAGCAGATGAGCCACCAGAACTACATGTACACTGATGGAGGTGAGAGGTTGACTGCTTGTGTTTTGTGTTGATGTGACGTTAGGAATTGTTGCCCTTGTCACACAGCGGACACAGAGGATACAAACTAGCAGTTTTTGCTATTCTTATCCGATTATTCTCTGTGATGTGCATTTTCATTTTTTATTTTATATACATGCTCCTAGCTCATGTCTAATGTCCCAACTCGTTATGTTTATGTTCAAGGTCCTCCTGCCCCTATGCTGATATTCAAGCCCTAGCCGAAACATCATGTCCCAGCTCAGACCCCGAGTTAAAGCCCAGCCCTCATCCTAGCCAGAACCCTCTACCAGCCCAAACTTTATCCCAAAACAAACCCTATACCCCATTCAAACCAACACTCCATCCCAGTCCAAATTCTATCCCAGTCCAAATGTCATCTCAGTCCAAATGTCATCCTAGTCCAAATGTCATCCCAGTCCAAACCACATTCCAGTCCAAACCCTATCCCAGCCTATCCCCATTTCAGCCCAAACCCCATCCCAGCTTATCCCCATTTCAGCCCAAACCCCATCCCAGCCTATCCCCATCCCAGCCCAATCCCCATCCCAGCCTATCCCCATTTCAGCCCAAACCCTATCCCAGCCAAAACCCCATCCCAGCCTATCCCCATTTCAGCCCAAACCCCATTCCAGCCTATCCCCATTTCAGCCCAAACCCCATCCCAGCCCAAACCCTATCCCAGCCCAAACCCTATCCCAGCCTATCCCCATTTCAGCCCAAACCCCATTCCAGCCTATCCCCATTTCAGCCCAAACCCCATCCCAGCCTATCCCCATCCCAGCCCAAACCCCATCCCAGCACAAACACTGTACCCCCATCCCAGCCCAAACCAACACCCACTACCAGCCCAAACCAACACCCCTTTCCAGCCCAAACCAACACCCACTACCAGCCCAAACCCCCTTCCAGCCCAAACTCTACCACAGCCCAAACACCATCATAACCAAAACCTCATCCCAGCCCACAACCTATCGTAGCACAAACCTCAAGCCCTAGCACAAACCTCATGTCCTAGCACAAACCTCATGTCCTAGCACAAACCTCATGTCCTAGCACAAACCTCATGTCCTAGCACAAACCTCATGTCCTAGCACAAACCTCATGTCCTAGCACAAACCTCATGTCCTAGCACAAACCTCATGTCCTAGCACAAACCTCATGTCCTAGCACAAACCTCATGTCCTAGCACAAACCTCATGTCCTAGCACAAACCTCATGTCCTAGCACAAACCTCATGTCCTAGCACAAACCTCATGTCCTAGCACAAACCTCATGTCCTAGCACAAACCTCATGTCCTAGCACAAACCTCATGTCCTAGCACAAACCTCATGCCTTAGCTGAAACCTTAAGTCTTGACAGTTTCCACGTCCTATTACCCCATGATATTATATTACTTTAATATTTTAGGGGATAGGGATGATTGGGTGTCAACATCTCCCCCCCCCCACCCACCCCCACCCCCCACACGCCAAACCCCATACATCTGCAGACTTAGGATCAAAACTGCAGACACGCCAGAGGTAATCTGTGTTTCAAACGCATTATTTGAGCTGACTGTCTTCGTGTGTAGCTCTTCTGGCAGACATTGACAATGTTTCATTGTCATGATCATGAGGATAATAATGATGGCGATGATGACAAAAATGGTGATAATAAAGATGATAATGGTGAGGATGATGATTGGTCTGTTATGTGTTATTTCTGCTTGTCTTGTGTTGGTGGTGCTAGTGATGATGATTGGTAACTAGTGTATCAGTTCTATAACTGTCTTTTGATGATGATGATACAGTGATCATGCTGATGATGATGGTTGTAATAATGATGATGATGGTTGTAATAATGATGATGATAATGCCGATTATGATGATGTCGATGATGATGGTAATGATGATGGTAATGATGATGGTAATAGTGGTTATCAGTTGTGTGTTGGTTCTACATCTTTGCCGGATGCTGTCTGGTCATGTAGTACTACCGTACTGTCTGCACGTAAGCAAGTTGCCGGTCGTAAATGTTCACTAAGAATTTAGTAATGGCCTATCAATGAACCATGAGGGACAGAGCATCGATCTATTAGCATAACTATCTAATTTGATTTCCCTAAGGATGTGGCATTGCTGCTATAGGGTCGACCCGTACTCGTGGTCTGGGTCCCTGGAGACTTCATTGGAACGGAAAATACCGAAAATACCAACATGTGAGAGAGTTGGACCTATTACCTCAGCATGATGTCGCCAGTACTGTCATGTTAATGAATAAAAATGAATGAATGAATGAATGGGTTAATTCATTATTGAAGGAAGAAAGGAAGGAATCAGGAATTGATTTTATTGCACTCTGGGCATTGTCACACTTGCTCTGTCCCCTTCCTCAATAGCCAAGGAAGAGTTCACATGCAGATGGTACCAGTTGTTACCTGATTACAAGTTCCCCAATCTTTTCCCATGCCCATTGAAAACCCTCCATCTAGATCCTCTGTTCACTCCCCACGGAATCACTGTCTCGAGACACAGATGCCCTGTCTGTTCTGTTTTACTGTTCACTTGATCCCAGAGTCTTCACCCCATGTAGCTCACCGTAAAGAGGAGCTGCATTATCCCATCTTTCAGCACGCTCATTACCCTGCACCCTAGAAAACCGTGGGCAAAAATGTAGGCGCTTTATTAATATCCTACCCCCAGATGACGTCACAAAACAGTCCAACATTTTTGAGCGTGGTAAGACTGGGTTTCCCGGCTTTTTGATGCTTTTAACGACATCAAAACATCTAGAACTGGGCCTAACAGCAATCCACCTACATCCCACGAGAGAGAGAGAGAGCAGCCTAGGTCTCACGGCTGCATGCAGCTTAGGTCCCACGACTGCATGCAGCCTGTCTATCACCCCCTGAAATATTAGACTGTCCCGTGACCTGTGGATTTCCCTTGTTTAGGGTAAGATATTAATAAATCACCAAAATTATCCCCAGTGCATGGGAGGCACTTTTAATTGACACATCCTATATATGTTGGATTATTGTTGCCTTTTATCTTAAACCAGAATCCACGACTTCAGCAGACGATAAGAAAAAGGGCGGGTCAGTGTTTGGTCGCTTCCTCAGAAACATTGGCCTCCGCAAGTCCAACAGAAAAGGCTCCTACAACAAATACCATGGTAAGACTTCACATGGTCTTCACTTTTGTTTCGCCACTTTTTAGGATTTTCACAAAATTCTTCTCAAAGTTATCACAACATTCTCCTTCAGGTTGTCATAACTCTTAGATGTTACTATATATATATATATATATATATATATATATATATATATATATATATATATATATATATATATATATATATATATATATATATATATATAAAAAGATAATGTATTATATATATTATATTGGCACTTAGAGGCAGAAAGACACAAGGACACACTAGGCATCATAAAAATCGAAAGCTATAGTTGCCATGCCGGAATCGAACCTGTCACCTGCAAATGTGAGCGTCTCGCTTTTGAAACAAGCATACTTAGAACACAACCACCTTAGATTTTACTGCATGCTACCCACACCTTTTGTTGTGTAGACCATCTCTTTTAAGTATACGTTTATATATTTTATATTTTTTCAAAAATTTTATTTATTTTCCCTTCAGCAGTACTAATAAGAATAATTACTATTATTTTTATTATTACTATTATTATTACTGTGCACTTGAACAGACTCACGCTCCCTAAAATTATAATTACTGAAAGTCCCCCAAACAATTCCCCTACCCCCTTCCCCCACCGCTTATAAATTTTTTTTTTTTTTTTTGGAGGCGACGCTCGTCGTTCCTAGCTTTCCTCGTGTTGCAGTTTGTCTCCTCTAGGACTGTAATGCACAGGATTAACACCTCAAAGATAAGAATCCTACATTTACAAAACTAGAAAAGCCTCTCAACCGTAAGACTATGTTCGGGTCCCAGACAGTTAGAAGTAACTTACAGTCCCGACCGGGCATGGATATCTTTGCCTCATGTTTACTCATCTTCTCCTTGCATCTTGACGTCTCACTCAAATCTCAGACTGAATCGTTTTTCCTGTCACCCACTGACAGCAGATGTTTCTCATACTCGTCTCTGCTATAGTCTGTTCCACAAGTGGTGGCCAACTTTCAAAATCTGTAACTCAGTAACGTTTGTGAATAAATTGTTGAAATTTGGCATGCAACGTGGAGGGGGGTTGGGGGGGGGGGGGGACATGTACTGATTTAAAGCAAAGGGTCAGCATGCTTAGCCTGTAATTAATTGAGTAACGGGGACTTTTCAAAACATTCGGATTGCACGCATTTCCTGGACGTTTCCCTCTCAGGTGGTTATCTTCAGCACAAGTCTCCTGTGAGTTACATGAACATTATTTTTCATTGTGTTGAGATAGGCTATCAAAATAATCCCCTCGTATCGCTGCACATGTGAATTAATTTCCAAACTATCACCACACTTGTGTCAATTACTGTGTGATAGCTTGTTAGAGGTACACAAATTATTAGTTAAAGTTCAAAAATGTGTCACCGCTTCAAAGAAAACAGCAGTAACTGTGCAATTGTAAATTACAAAATCATAAAAACATGGGAAATCTAAGATGACGTGCAAACATGTGTGTTGTTCTGTGTTTTCGAGATATTTGTTGAAGTGTGAGGGCACAACTTTTGAAACACGTTCTAGAACAGTCTGGTGTGGATATTTTCACAGGTGATCTCAGCGCGTATGAGATCAGCATGTCTGACGAGGATAGGATGGCTTTGATGATTCTGGTGAAGGAGGGCAAGATCAGTACCCACACCGCCTTGGCAGTGGTGAGTCCACGTCTGTTGTTGTGCCGGTATCTTGGCTTGTGGGGTTCTGAATGTGTGGGTTTTTTGGTGGTGGGTTTCTGTGTGTGTGGTGTTCTGGGTGTGTGACTGATACGGTGTGGGTGAGTGACTGACGCCTTGTAGGTGTGTGGTGTGTCTCTGATATATAATGGATGTGCGGGTGAGTCTGACACATTGTGGATGTGGGGTTGAATCGCTGATACATGGTTGAGTCACTGATATATTGCAGATATGTGGGTGAATCTTTGAAACATTGCGGATCTGTGGGTGAGGTGCTGACACATTTTGGATGTGTGGGTTAGTTTCTGATATATTGTGGGTGAGCCATTGATAGATTATAGGTGTGTTGGGAGTCACTGATACATTATAGATGTACGGTTCAGGCGCTGATACAGTATAGGTAAGTGGCTGAGTCGCTGGGTCAGTTCCACAATAATCTTCCCACGTTACAAACTAGCTCACTTCTGATTAGTCAACCTCCAATCACCCGACCTTCGCACGCTGCTTGGGGAGGGAGGGTGGGGGGGGGGTGTTCGGCAAGCCCTTGTTATCGCGTGTCGCATATTTAATCACGCCAGCGGTTATAACACTTCAAAAACATTTAGAAACTGGGTCTAACCCACAACACCCAAGAGAGTGCTGCAACCTATGTCACAGGCACTGTCTTTCTCAGAAGAAAAACATGAATGCAAGACAAGCCAGAAAGGAAACAACAAAGCCGTAACCTCCCGGACAGCACACGAGTCTAAAAATGTATCAATCGAACGTAACCTAGTTCGGCTGGGGAGATTATCATGGAACTAACTAGTCGCTGATACACTGAATGTCTGTGTGAGTCATTGCGGGCGAACCCTTATAGTTCTGGCTGATTGGCACTCATAGAAAGAAGTAGATAGATAGAAGAACTTGAGTGCCGATCAATACACATTCTGTTACTTGATTAATTCATAATATTTAACGGCCTCAAAGGTTCCCCCTCTGTTTATTTATAGTTCTGGTTGTACTCTTGAGGGTCTGACTGGACTGGCGCATGGCTGGCTGGTCTTCAATAAAACTTCCCCTCAGTGTTACAATGTCCAGCAGCTGTCGACTAGCTGGCCCACGTCACGTAAACTGCCGCCCTCTCAGGTGGATTGTTTTTCTCGGAAAGGTCACAAAAGGGCACATCTCGCTCACGACAGTTTTCTGGCAATATTTTTCCCCTGTCAGTCCATCTTTCTATCGTCCTAATCGAGTATACAACATTTGTCAGTCGCTCTATCTTTTGCCCTAGTCAAATAGTTGGTAACAGGGAATTCTCGCCAAACAGCAAAACCATTTTATCGAGTCGAGAGGATCCACTTCATTCCACCAGGTTGTATTCCCCCCCCCCCTCGCAAAATTGCAAGCTGCATCTCACAAAACACAAACTCTGTAGCTCTGTCGACGATCCCCAGGATCTCTATAAAAATTGCGCTTGTAAACTGAACGACGCAGTCGGGAAACGAACCCACGACCTCCTAACCGCGAGGCAAACGGCTTGCCCACTTTGCCACGTAGACCCTCTTAAATGAATTGTGTGAAAAGTTTCATTCCTAGACTTTTTCTAGTTTTCCCTATATATATATATATATATATATAGGGAAAAGTAGTTCTTCTTGTGACTCCAGCCGCACTTCTAGTAATCTCATTACTGTTTTAAAAATTCCGTGGTTATTAGATGTCGTAAAGTCAATGTCTGACACACTGACAACATAAAATTGGCCAAAAATTAAGCTTCAGGAGATTTGCCTAGACGAAGGCGTCTTTCTAAATGTGAGATGGGGAGTTAGTTGTCCCACTGCCTCTTTTGCTTTTATATATCGTGTGTTAATGTCTCCATCCATTCTTCCTTCTGAGTTGAAAATATACTTAAGATATTTAAATTGACTTTCAAAATTCTTACAGAAACAAAAACGCACAAAACATGGCCGCCACTATCGAACTTGGTGTACGTTGAGAGCGTTACGTTATAGAATTTTTATAACAACACATATTACCACTAGTATTACAGTAATTCGTGTAATAATACACATGCATGTTTTAAATTGCAGCTTCTCGGAAATATTTCAGGCGTGGAACATTGTTGCTAGTGGCTCAATATTTTAAATTGAGTTAATCCAGTGTTGAGTCAGCGAATCCAACCAGCTTTTCTGGCAACCAGTGGGGGGTGGGGGGGGGGGGGAATGTGTGTGTTCGCTTGTAAAGAGTAGGGGCGCAGAGACAAACATTGGGGCGGGGGGTTTTGGGGGACAGTTTAGAATGGGCTCAGCTCCCAAACACTGGGGAGGGGACTATGTCTTGTTTAAATGCATAATAATATAACGGTGTGCTGAACAGCAGTAAATATAATAATATATTTGAAATAGGGCATGTATAAACAACAAACTTATTAACAGACCAGCTAGCTCCCTAAAAGTTTTTCCCCCGAATAGAGGAGCGTGCCTAAAAAGGTTGTGTGAAAAGAGAGGAGAAAAAAAATGAGGGGGGGGGTGGTTCAAGGTGCCTGAGCTCCCACACCGAGACGCCCCTGGGAAGAAACAACGGTATTTGTGTTACTGTCGGTGATAGTGGTGTTTTGTTTCGTTTCACATTTCTGTCACGTCAATGTGTTATTTGTGAGTGGCAAGAATCATGGTCTAGGCAAGCCCTGATGCGCCCGGCGCTGGTAAACTGTTCTGTTGTCAGAGACTGGTTGTGTGTTGAAGGCTGTATGTTGTAGGGTTGACATTTGGAAATGCCATTGATTGTCTGATATTGATGTCAGCGCGACGGACATACAGTGATGTGGTGTTTGTCAGTTTCTCGCAGTACTTCAGCTACACATTTTTTTTCTGTCTGTGTACAACCACACATATTTTCTCTCAGCCCCCCCCCCCAACCGCCCCCCCCCCTCCTCTTTGTATGGTCTCTCTCTCTCTCTCTCCCTGCCTCCCTCCATACTTACACATATAGATTTTCTTTCTTTCTGTCGTTGTCTTTCTCTGTCCGTATTTCTACTAGCATATAGTTCTTTATCTTTCTGTGTTTCTAATTCTTTCCTATTGTACTTCTACATATAATCTCTCGTTCTCTGTCTCTCTTTCTGAGTGTATAGTACATTGGTTCCTCTCTCTCTCTCTCTCTCTCTCTCTCTCTCTCTCTCTCTCTCTCTCTCTGTACACCTGCATGTAGTTTGTCTGTCTCTCTCCCTTGTACTCATATATGTAGTCTTTCTGTCTGTTCTCAAAGATAATCTCTTTCACTCTCTGTCTTTCTCTGTATGTGTATGTATGTGTGCATACTCCTGCATTGGTTCTGCCTCTCTCTGTACTTCTGAATGTAGTGTATCGGTTCCTACATTAACCCAACTGTCAGATCGTCCCGATAACAAACACACCATTATCACAGGGTATGCGCGACATACCAGAGTCATCGGTGACGTCAGTTTCTGAAGTTTTGCCTGTTTCCAACCGTCCATTTCCCACTGTTTGCACAATCACAGACTGATTCACCAGCGTAAGATTTACACCCTCACAGAATGATTGATTTACCAGCAGAAGATATACAAATGACACATAATTAGTTTACATGTAAACAGTCGGCCGAGATATTCCAGTTGTGTAATTTCTCTATGATTATATGTCAGCGAGGTAAATTGGAATTTATCCTGAGGGGAGGTAACGTGTGCAAGCGCAGCAAAAGAGTATAATGTCACAGAGTTGTCGCAACGTTGAGTCCCTGCAACAGTGGTTCTTACACTTGTCTTGTCTGGGGTACTTTTAAATATGACTAAACCATTTGTTCTGTCTTCCTCTTCTTTTGTCTTCACTCTGTTGACGGTAAAAAGCTCAGTGTCGTGGTTTTCTGTATTTCTGTTGCGCTTCTCGGGTCTCGGGTGCCCTCTCTATCACTCACAGGGGCGTGCGGGCAGTAGGGGGGGGGGGGGTGTGGACATCATCGGCCGTAAAAAAATGGCAAAAATGTGGGAGGGGGGGGGGGGGCAGCGGCGCAAAAATGTTCCGCAGCGGGTACAGACTGACCTTCCAATGCTGCTGGGGGCATTTTTCTGTCTATCTGTGGGTTTGACATTGCAAATTCTCTTTGTAATTCCCAGATACCCGGTTGGATACTAGCTGCAGACATTTTAGTAGCAGATCGCTTTGCGTTGATTTCGACAGTAATACCGACCGTTGAGGACAGTGGCAAAATACTGAATATACAATTTGTCTAAAAAATACTGTATCTACTGCCCTTTGTCCCTTCCATCTGTGTCTACTTCCGTGTGTCCCTCCATCTGTGTGTGTCTGTGTCTGCTTCCCTCTTTCTCTCTGTGTCTGCTTCCCTCTTTCTCTCTGTGTCTGCTTCCTTCTGTCTCTCCATCTGTGTCTCACTTTCTGTGACTTTGCTTTTTTCTGTCTCCCTCTGTTTTCCCATCTGTGTCTCACTTTCTGTGACTTTGCTTCTTTCCGTCTCCCTCTGTTTTTCCATCTGTGTCCCACTTTCTGTGACTTTGCTTCTTTCCGTCTCCCTCAGTTTTTCCATCTGTGTCCCACTTTCTGTGACTTTGCTTTTTTGTGTCTCCCTCTGTTTTTCCATCTGTGTCTCACTTTCTGTGACTTTGCTTCTTTCCGTCTCCCTCTGTTTTTCCATCTGTGTCTCTATCTCTTCTGTGACTTTGCTTCTTTGTCTCCCTCTGTTTTTCCATCTGTGTCTCACTGTCTCATGTTTGCTTCTTTCCGTCTCCCTCTGTTTTTCCATCTGTGTCCCACTTTCTGTGACTTTGCTTCTTTCTGTCTCCCTCTGTTTTTCCATCTGTGTCTCTATCTCTTCTTGTCTGTGATTTGCTTACTTTATTTTTTTGATTGTCACTGTCTCATGTTTGCTCACGCCGCCTCTCTCTCTCTCTCTCTCTCTCTCTCTCTCTCTCTCTCTCTCTCTCTCTCTCTCTCTCTCTCTCTCTCTCTCTCTCTCTCTCTCTCTCTGTCTCTCTCTCATTCTCCCTCTGTCTCTCTCTCTGTCTCTCTCATTCTCCCTGTGTCTCTCTCTCATTCTCCCTCTGTCTCTCTCTCATTCTCCCTGTCTCTCTCTTTCATTCTCCCTCTGCCTCTCTCTCATTCTCCCTCTGTCTCTCTCTCATTCTCCCTCTGTCTCTCTCTCATTCTCCCTCTGTCTCTCTCTCATTCTCCCTCTGTCTCTCTCTCATTCTCCCATTGTCTCTCTCTCATTCTCCCTCTGTCTCTCTCTCATTCTCCCTCTGTCTCTCTCTCATTCTCCCTCTGTCTCTCTTTCATTCTCCCTCTGTCTCTCTCTCATTCTCCCTCTGTCTCTCCCTCTGTCTGTCTCTCTGTCTCTCTCTCATTCTCCCTCTGTCTCTCTCTCCCTCTGTCTCTGTCTCTATCTCTCTCTGTCTATCTCTCTCTGTCTCTCTCTCTCCCAATCTCTATGTCTCTCTCTCTGTGTCTCTCTCTGTGTCTCTCTCCCCCTCTCTCTCTGTCTCTCTCTGTCTCTCTCTGTCTCTCTCTCTCGGTCTCTCTGTCTCTCTCTCTGTGTCTCTCTCTCTGCCCCTCTCTCTGTGTCTGTCTCTCTCTGTCTCTCTCTCTGTCTCTCTCTCTCTGTCTCTCTTTGTCTCTCTCTGTCTGTCTCTCTCTGTCTCTCTCTGTCTCTCTCTCTCTCTCTCTCTCTCTCTCTCTCTCTCTCTCTCTCTCTCTCTCTGTCTATTGTTCACTCCACGCCTTATTGTGGTAGGCGAAAAACAGACCCGCTGCTCCCTAACAAGCATGTCGCAAAAGGCCACTAATTAGGGATTTTCTTTTGAAGTCTGAGTGCAGTCTGAGAGGTGGGGAACCAACAGTCTGTAAATAAATAAGTCAGATCTGTAGAATTGATGAACATTCAAAGCTCAAGTTCTGGAACACACTGCAGAAATGGACGAAAAGCAGCAACTTTCCGCCAGGCGCTACATCTGGTAAGCGCTAAGAAAAAGAAGGATGTATTATTTCTCCCACTGTCTGTATAAATGTGTTTTACCTTCTCACTATCTGGAGAAGAACGTTTTGCACTACACATTGACATGTTCAGACACCGCTGGTACGACACATCGTGAATGTCATATATAAGGTCAGGGGCATTTAGACTAGGGGCCGAGCCTACTTACTGCATCACACACATTAGCATAACACCAGTATGTGGTGTTGTAAGTTTGTTAAATAAAATCCAGTATGTGTGGTGTTGTAGTTTGTTGGATAACACCAAGGCGTAGTATTGTAGTTTGTTGGAAAACACCTAATCATTGTAGTTTGTTGACCAACACAGGTATGTGATGTTTCAGTGAGTGGTGTTGTAGGTTGTTTGATAACACCAGTGTGTGGTGATGTAGTTTGCTGGATGACACCAGTTTGTGTTGACGTCGTTTTTTGAATGACACCAGTGTGTCGTGACGTAGTTTGTTAGATGACACCCTTGTGTGGTGACGTAGTTTGTTAGATGACACCCTTGTGTCGTGACGTAGTTTGTTGGATGACACCCTTGTGTGGTGACGTAGTTTGTTAGATGACACCCTTGTGTGGTGACGTAGTTTGTTAGATGATACCCTTGTGTGGTGACGTAGTTTGTTGGATGATACCAGCATGTGGTGATGTTAGTTTGTTGGAAGATATAGTGGTTTGTATGACACCAATATGTGATGTATTCTTTTGGATGATATAGCATGTTGATGACACCAGTGTTTGGTGATTTAGCTTGTTGGATGACACTGGTGTGTGGGACATAATTTGTTGAATGACGTCAGCGTTTGGTGATTCAGTTTGTAGGATGATATGGTGTTTTGCATGACGTCAGTATGTGTTGATGTATTTTACAGTATGTTGGACGACATCTGTGTGTGGTAATGTAGTTTTTGGATGACATTAGTGTGTGATAATTTAGTTTGTTGGATAACACAGTTTGTTGGATGACATAGTTTGTTGGGTGATACCAGTGTGTGGTGATTTAGTTTGTTGGGTGACATAGTTTGTTGGATAATATAGTTTGCTGGAAGACATAGTTTGTTGGATGACACCAGTGTGTGGTGATGTACTCCCCAGGTGCAGAAGTTTGAGGAGGGACGCAAGGCTGCAGGGAAGGTTGGTCCCCCAGACAGTGGCAAAGAAAACGTGTGTGTAAGTGGTGTTTGCTCGTTAAATCGTGTGCTTAATTCTGAGCTTTAGATGGGGTTAAAGAGGAAAGTGGTTGGGGAAGGGGGGGGGGGTCGGGGTTGTTAGGCGATTTTGACACTTGCTAACTGATTTTCTGGTTGGGGTTGTCATGGTGTGTTTTGTTTCCTGGTCCTTCCTGTGTGGCTTTCGGGGCCCAGTGTGAGGAGAATCGCCCGACTGCCTTCCCAGTAAGCATGTCATAAAAGAAAACTAATTAGGGGAGTTTCATTTGAAGCAGGAGTGCATCTGCTCGAGAGGCAGTAACTAGCAGTCTGAATAAAATAAGCAATATCTGTAAAAAGCCGGTAAACCCAAAGAAGGGGGTGGGGGTGGGGGGCGCCATTGTGAAACGGCTAGACGTTCGCCTGCTGATACCAAGATCGTGGGCTGGAATCCGAAAGAAACTGGACTTTTTCGAAAAACGACCTTGGCTATCAGGTCAACCCAGCTTTCTAGATAAAGTCATGGGGAAAAAAGGTGGCCGGCCTGTTGTTGACCTCATCATCTACATAGTACATTGGTCTATAAAATTTAGGTCTAGAACTATGTGGCGTGGAAAAGAGTCCCTAACATTTTAACGCGAAGCATTCTTCTTTTTCTAAGCGTTCGGTTTCCTATGCTCAGATCAGACCGTTAGGTAGATTGCCTCTGTGAACTCGCATGTCGGTAGCAAGGCCTTCGTGGTTCCCCATAGCTTGCTGTGCACACTTTGCTCTAGAGGCCAGGTGTTTTTTGCGAAGTTGTATGAGAGTGGGCAGGTCTGCAGAATGTGCTCAGGTGTTTGTGGTCCTGTTTGACAAGCACACTGTGGGGACTCTACAATCTCTATTTTATGCATATGGTAGTTGAGCCAGGAGTGTTCTGTTCATAGACGGAGAATTGTTGTATGTTAGTTTCTGTTGAGTCTGCTGATGGGGTCTTGTGGATGTTTACTGACAGTTTGTTCTCTCCATAATTCCATGTATTTTTCCTTGATAAATGTTCTGATTTCTGGTAATCACAATAAATGGGTGTGTTGTTTCTCCTTTGTTCCATTTTTTGCATGTCTGTCTGTTAACTCATTTCCTGGTATGCCGCAGTGAGCTGGAGAACGATTTGATTGTTTTCTGCGAGTCTTGTTTAGCTGGCGGGTCAGTTCTCTCTCCAGATTGCCTCGTGGATCCCTCTGAGTCGCCTGGAGGACTGACATGCAGTCACAAAGAAAAACAATTTGCTGTTTTTAATTTTTCTTTTCTCCAGCACTTTGGCTGAATCAGTAATTTCTTGCTGCTCTGCTCTGCTCTGAAGTTTGTTAAGAGTCTTCCGGAGGCGCATGATATTTCTACTGTGGTCCCATCTTGCAGCATGATGACCGATCCAACTCCTCCGTATTTTGTGTGTGTGTGTGTGGTCAGCTCCCTCCAGTGATCCATCGGTGTATATGAGTTTTGGATAACAGACATGTTCAGGGGTCTTTGCATGCAATACTAAGTCACATTCTTCAGCCTTTCTGTCTAAGAAGACGAAAACGTTTTGTTGGACAGTCTGGTCATAAACATGGTTAAGGTTCATCTCATGGCAGTTACTGCTGACATTGTGTGACACTAGACAACTTCACACGTATTAGATCAAAGCAATATGAATTGAGATTACCAGTTACCTATTTCCTTCAACGCCATTTCTTTCTAGTCTACTTCTTTTTCTCCTCCTCTTCTCTTCTTCTTCTTCTTCCTTCTTCCTCTTCTTTTCCTCTTTTTCTCCTCCCCCTTCTTCTTCTTCACTTCTTTTTCTTCTTTTCCTTCTTCTTCTTCTTCTTCTTCTTCTTCTTCTTCTTCTTCTTCTTCTTCTTCTTCTAGATCTTCTTCTTCTTCTATGTTCGTCATTTAAAAAGGCGACTGGTACATTGCATTGTGGTTTACAGCTTGGCTGCGATACTTGCGTATTTCGGCCGACTGATCCGATTTCAGCAGACTTTTAATCAGTCGTCATTTACGATATGCTTGTTAAAGGCAGTGGGTTGACCCCCTCCCCCCTTTCCACCCCCACTTCCTACCAGATGTGACTCCAGAACCTACACAGGCATCTTCCTAGTCCGATTGTGATATTAATAAAAGTGGGTCTGAGGGTCGGGTGCTACCAACCCTAGGACACATGGTACTGACTCCTGTTGACTATCTACTACACACTACAATCCTGTAAACGAAATACTAGGAAGTCTGTAGGTGTAGTGTTCAGAGTTGCTTGCACTCAGACATCTTTTGAAGCAAAATACTTATTATCTCCATGTAGCAGATCCTTTGCAGAACATCACTGTCATTGAAGTCTGCCTGAAAGAAAGATGCACACTCTCCAAATATTAACTTTAATTTTCTTGCTGGTGCTTAACCATAGATTTTTAATGTTGTTTAAACCTTCCACTAAACCTCTCAAAAACAGTGCCCTGTTCTTACTCTATACCTCCCATAAGCAGTGCTATATCGACTATACCTCCTTTAAACAGTGCTCTGTCCTTCCCTATACCTCCTATAAACAGTGCTGCATGCACTATAATTCCAATAAACAGGGCTCCATCCTTCAAATATACATCCTATATACAGTGCTCTGTCCACTATAATTCCTATAAACTGTGCTCTATCCTTCCACTATACCTCCTGTAAACAGTCGTCTGTAATTCCACTATAACTCCTATAATCTGTTCTCTGTCCACTATACCTCCTGTAAACAGTACTCTGTCCTTCTACTACACCTCCTATAAACAGTGCTCTGTCCTTCAATTATTCCTCCTATAAACAATGAAACAGTGCTCTGTCCTTCCACTGTACCTCCTTTAAACAGTGCTATATCGACTATACCTCCTATAAACAGTGTTCTGTTTTCCCACTATACCTCTCATAAACAGTGCTATATCGACTATACCTCCTGTATTCAGTGCTCACTCTATACACCTACTGTGTACTGTGCTTTGTTTCACTATACCTCCCAAAAACTGTGCTATTTCGACTATACATCCTATAAACAGTGCTATATCGACTTTATGTCCTATAAACACTGCTCTATCCACTATACCTCCCATTTACCTCCTATAATCACAGTGACACATAAGCAGACATCTAAAGTGCATATAACCATCTCTGCTTTCATCTCTCTGCAGGACACCCCATCAAAGAAAGGCAAGAAAAAGAAAAGCATCAAGTCCCTGAAGTCACAGTCATCCACATCAACAGGTAAGTTTTTGAGCTCACTGGTTTGTTGTTCTCTGCCCATCTTGTTGGTCCAACAATTAGATTTGTTTACAGCCATGCTGGGGTGTCTTCTTCTTTTCATTCTATGGATGGTGGTTTTCAGATGAAAAGGTCACATGCTTCTATGAGTACTGTGGTGGGACAAAGTCCTCCACTGATCCATATTAAGTAAATTCCGCTAAATGCCAACTGGCCCGACCTGGGAATATTTCAGCTGCAGCATGTTTGCAGCTGTTGTTGTTGGCACATTTCTGTCTTTCTTGACGGTTGTTGGCACATTTCTGTTTTTCTTGATGGTTGTTGGCACATTTCTGTCTTTCTTACGGTTGTTGGCACTTTTCTGTCTTTCTTGACGGTTGTTGGCACATTTCTGTCTTTCTTACGGTTGTTGGCACTTTTCTGACTTTCTTGACTGTTGTTTGCACATTTCTGTTTTTCTTGATGGTTGTTGGCACATTTCTGTCTTTCTTGACGAGTGTTGGCACATTTCTGTCTTTCTTGATGGTTGTTGGCACATTTCCATCTTTCTTGATGACAGTGTTATACTGTGCAACAGCAAGGCATCGGAATCCCAACCCATGGCGTTGGTGAATGTGATTTAAGATGAGCCTTCCACAGTTAAAGCATGGGATTTCATTACTGTTGTTGCCATCACATGTATTTGATATGCTTCTTCTCAGATGCTCAGCTCTCAATCATTCTGCAGTCAGGTTTTTTCTTCATTCTCATTCCTTTCCTGATCTCTCCCCTCCAAGAAACAAGGCCTATGTCATTTTTTTCCCCCATGAATCTACCTCAGTACCTGTATCATTCATGTCCTGTTTCCACACATTTTTATATCATATTTTACTTTGGCCTCAACATCTTCTGCCCATCTGTAATTAACTTTACAGGATGTCCTTAGGGACTCAACCATCTTCCATTCTCCAAGTGTGACCCAGATTTCAGAGACTGAGCATTCCGAAAACTGTTGTAGTACATGCTCTTTTCAATACCTCAGTGTTTGTGATCTTGTCTTGTCGCTTAATCCCAAGTATTCTTCTTAGGCATTGCATGTGAAAGCAATTTAGCCGTTTCTTCTGGTGCGAATAATTTGATCAATTTTCACTGCAAAAAAGCAGTGCTGATAACACAAGCTTGATAGACCGGTTTATGTTTTAATCTGTGAGCTTTCAGTTCACCCAAACTCTTGTTGTTAATCTGCTCATTGCTGTTGCTGCGTTACCTATCTTGCTGTTGATTTCTTGGTCCAGTGATAATTTGTTATTCATTGTGCATCCCTGATATGTAAAATGGTCAACTGTCTCCAGCTCTTTGCCATCAGTGAAGACTGCAGGTCTATCATTAGCACCTTGCACCACAGTTTGTGTCTTCTCAGGGTCATGAGCTACTTTATGATAAACTGAATGTGGTGAGGATCCATACATTAAAAGAATAATTCAACAAGGTTGGGTGAGAATAATTCAACAAGGTTGGGTGAGAATAATTCAACAAGGCTGGGTGAGAATAATTCAACAAGGTTGGGTGAGAATAATTCAACAAGGTTGGGTGAGAATAATTCAACAAGGTTGGGTGAGAATAATTCAACAAGGTTGGGTGAGAATAATTCAACAAGGTTGGGTGAGAATAATTCAACAAGGTTGGGTGAGAATAATTCAACAAGGTTGGGTGAGAATAATTCAACAAGGTTGGGTGAGAATAATTCAACAAGGTTGGGTGAGAGAAGACAGGGGTGACTAGAGGTTCTCGCAAATATTGAACACTGAAGGGAAAACATATTTGGACTATAAATCAGGTTGCAGCTGGTACTAAAGTCACATGTCGACTCTTGATTGACTACTAAAGAAGGGTAAGGTATATGTGGAAATGTCCCAAGTGGAGTGATTTCAATTCTTGATTTATAAATTCATTCTGTGTCTTCTTTTTGCTGAATGTTAGTCAAATTAGCACATCTAATTTTAACAGACTCCTGGTTAGTCGCGTTTTACAAAGTGCTTGTCAGGGAGTCCAAGAAAAAAAAAGGGGGGGGGGGGGGGGGGGGGGTGTTTATTCTTTTTCCCTCACAAAAATTGGGCTCTAGAATCCATATGGAGAGTAGCTGGTTTCCAGGGCTACCGACTATCAACTTATGGGTGTAGAATAAGGTCATGGCTAGTTCTAGTTGACTATTATGTTGCAGTCAGACTGAGTCGGTAACTACATACATCCATGTTAGCATGTTCCCTGTTCCAGTTAACATTCTCATAGTTTTTATGAATGTGTACATATTTAAAGGTCTTCTTCTTCAGAATTCTAAACCCCTGAAGTTCATTGGTGCAGATATCACCTCCCTCCTCCTCTCCCATTTCCCCCTTCTCTATTTATGTCTGTGATTTGTCTTCTTTTTTTCAGTTTGTAGATATGCATGTATATTTTCTGTTCACTTTCCACCATCTTCTTGGTCTGCCTTGCAGTATGTTCTCATTTAACTCTTTTGTGTATTCAGATTTTGTTTCTCTATTATCTGCCCTTGTATCTATTCTGTTTGCAGTCATGATGACAGTAGTTAGTGGTCATTTTAATGGATAACACATTTCCTTATTGCTTCCCACTATCCATTCCATAGATCATCATCACCATCATTATCCTGTTGTGCCAGCATACACCACTTAGGCTTACAGCCTAATCTTCCATTCTGTTCTATTCTGTGCATTTATTCTATATTCTATATTTATCTACAGAGGGCCGATAAGGATCTAGTTTACTATGTCTGCCTACAAGTGACTGACATATATGTAGTAGTCTGTATTTATCTAAAGAGGGCTGAAACAAATATAATATTCTATTTTTATTTATTTATTACCGATATAGATGTAGTACTCTAAATCGATCTACAGATGACTGATATAGATGAAGTGTTCTATATTGGTCTACAGAGGGCCGTTATAAATATAGTATTGTGTATTTGTCTATATATGACTGATATAGATGTAGTATTTTATATGTATCTACTAATAATTGATATAGATGTAGTATTTTGTATGTATCTACTAATAATTGATATAGATGTAGTATTTTATATGTATCTACTAATAATTGATATAGATGAAGTATTTTATATGTATCTACTGATGATTGATATAGATGTAGAATTCTGTATGGAACTTTTCATGTTTCCAGGCCCACAAAGGTCAGCTCCGCCCATTTTACACAGTTATGATTGACAAGTTCGCCTAAAGCTGTCAGGCGGTCAAGTGTAAGTGGCAGGGGTGCCAGTTATCTCTCTAGTGTATAAGTTGGAGTGCGTACAGGTACGCCTTGATCTGCACTGGCTTTTCTGAGCAACTTTGTATATAGTATCAGTGTTTGCTCGTGGGTAAATGACAGCCATCTAGGATTTTGCATAGACAATGAGTTTATTGCAGAGGGTATAGTTCCATGTTTGCAGCGAGAGAGCATTGTGCTGGCCACCGCAAAATGTTAAGAAGTCTGAAACCTCAGATTGTAGAATGCACTATCTTGTAGGACCTAGGTTCAGTGTGTGGCGAATGGGGGTTTGGGTTAGGGCCAGTCATTAAAATTGCTCTCTTGCTCTAAAATAGAGCTCGTGTGATAAAAAAGTGAGTTCTCGATGTTCAGAGGTCATAAATGTGTGTCGTAAATTGGACACAGCCATGGCGACACCCCTCTAACCTTGACAGAAGTCGACTGAGCTGAGCAAGTATCGATTAAAACTTGCGTAGTGTGTAAGTGGGCGGAGCTGACCTATGTGGGCCTGGAAAGGTGAAAAGAACCTTCTATATTTATCTGAGGTGACTGATATAAATGTAGTATTCTATACTTATCTGCAGATGACTGATATAGATGTAGTATTCTATATTTATCTGCAGATGACTGACATAGATGTAGTGTTCTATATTTATCTGCAGATGACTGATATAGATGTAGTATTCTATATTTATCTGCAGATGACTGACATAGATGTAGTGTTCTATATTTATTTGCAGATGACCGAAACAGATGCCTTCAAGTTGTCTCCCCTGCTGAGTGTGAGCAGCTCTGTCGCCAGAGGCGTGTGCACAGTTTGGGGCAGCTGGACGTGTCCCACACCCAACCCCACCCAGACCCACAGTACAACCACCAGCCAGTCAGAATGTCTCTGACCAGAGCCTTGTCCTGTTCACCTGCTTCCACACACAGTCCCAGGGTCAGATTTGTTTTGTTTTCTTATACTGCCAATTTCTCCACACAAAATCTTGTCAGTTGAGTTGAGCTGAGTCAAGAATTGAAAACACTCTGGGCATTCACATGTGTGCTCCATCCTCATCTTCAGCAGCCAATGCAGAGTTCCAATACTGATGGTACCAATCACAATCTGGTTATATGTCTGTCTTGCCTTCCCTCTGAGCGTAGTGAGCCGGCCAGACCAGATCTTGTTAGTAGTGGGAGACATTGAGACAGCTTCTTATAACTGACCTAGGCTGCCCAGTCAGTCGAGCCTAAATTTTACTAGGAAATGAACTGGAAAGTAAAGGTGACTGGCATTGACAGCCAGTTGGTTTACAATAATGTGGGTATGGCACCGCATGCATGATATGCCAGTGCTTTGGAAAATGTATTTGCAAATATGCCATGTGGGAATCTATTTCATGTAATGGCACAAATAAAAGGCTTCAGGTCTCAAAAATGTGTTAATAATGACAGTGACAGTAAAACCTCATTAACATGAAAGAGCTTAAAAAAAGACCATGTTAACATAAACAAATGTTTAGTTCATGCAGGGATGTATTAATTTGATTCTGGAGTCCCCCCTGGCTTGCATACATTTTCTTAAGATGCAGTGTTGATTTTTCTGTCAACAAGGTTTTGCTGTAATATCATATCATGGTTCGTTGATGGAAAACAACAAAAATTGTGATAGTGTTCATCATCATCATGTAGAAGGTCCTTTGCAGAAGGTTGCTCTCATCGTGATCTGCCTGAAAGAAACTTGGTCTCTCGTT